TGTTTTCAAGCACATGAAACTGTCAAAGTTCGCAAAGAAATATCTGGTTTGGCAAGCCATCTGTACCTGTGGCTTGAAAAGCAGCATTTTCATAGCTTCCGGGACTGTCAACCAAGAAATTTACGTGAAAGAGTGTTTGAATAAACGTCTGCTGCCTTTCTTGAAGAAACACGGTTGTTCCGTACTGTTTTGGCCGGATTTGGCATCTTGCCATTACGGTAAAAAGGCCATGGAGTGGTACGCCGCCAACAACGTGCAGGTGGTTCCCAAGGACAAGAACCCTCCCAACACGCCAGAGCTCCGCCCAATTGAGAAATACTGGGCTATTGTCAAGCGGAACCTAAAGAAGACCAAAAAAACTGCTAAGGGCGAGCAGCAGTTCAAGGCAAACTGGCTTTCTGCGGCGAAGAAGGTGGACAAGGTAGGGGTCAAGCGTAAGGCCCGGCAATTCGGATTTGGAAAAGCGGAAGCCTAACTGAATATTTTTCCTGAATTTTATACTAATTGAACTTGAAAAAGAAATTTAATTTGATTTTTTAAATAAACGATTTCACCGATTTACACGCGTTTTCCCTTGACCAAATTTTGACCGTATCACCCTTTAGATTTTCGGTCCCTACACGTCACCCAGACTTACCCACTTTACTCTAGTTAAATCGTATGAAACTACCGAAATCAGCCATACTTTTAATTAATATTCTCTGATTAAGAAAAATTTCCCTGAATTTGAATGAAATTCCCTGTGATTCCCTGATTCCCCAGGCAAAAAAAAATGATTCGCTGATTTTCCCTAACTTTCCAGATTTTTCCAGATAGTCGACACCCTGATTTCTAATTGTTCAATAAATCAAATCAATTCTTTAAGATGCTCTTGCAAGAAGTGCATATGGAAAACTTAGTTGAGAGAACGCAATCAGCTAATATGGGATAAGCAAAAAGCTTGGAATACGAAGGGAAAAAGAAGAAGAAGAAGAAGAATGGTAATAAAAAAGAAGCATAAGATGAAAAAGAATCGTAAGAAGAAGGAATTGTTCCAAAGACCTTCAATTGATCAAACTACTTGCGTAATGTTGTCTGGGTATTTTGGCAATTCTTCTGTTTGATTAGTAATTATTCTGAAACAACATTTAGACTGTGTTCCATTTGATGAATTTTCACTTAAATTTGACAGATGACATTGTTTTAAATAAACCTTCTATTCCAGCAGACTTATTTCTGACAGCCAATGAATCAATTGAATCAATGAAACACCTTCTCGAAAATCGGCCAATCAACAACAGAGGAATTTTCGAACTTCTTAACTTGTTTTCGAAGTGTCAAATTTAAGTGAAAATTCACCAAATCTCAATTATTTTTTCGAAGCGACGTTTGATCGTCGATTTGGCATAACTGGTAGCTCGCACACGCATACTAATACCACTATCAGATAGGGGAAAATTTCCCCTATCTGGTGGTAGTGTTAGCATGCATGGGCGAGCTACCAGTTACGCCAAATCAACGATCAAATGCATTGTTTACAAAAGCCGATATGCCCTTTCGAAAAAGTATTCGGGAAATGGAACGCAGCCTTAGGCTCGCCAATTGAAGAAAAATCTTTGGTTGTATGTGAATTCATAATTGCTTGAGGTTTTACAGATCTAGGTCATCAACGTGCTCGTGAAAATCCCATTTCAATATTTTTCTGCATTGTAGAGCTCTGAACGGTGATGTTTGACAGTTAATTTCCTGTCGGGGTCATATCTGACTCCGTGGGACCGTATTGGGTAAGTTTATAGAGTTGATAATAAACGAGTTACGCAGAGTGAAGCTTTCAACGCTGATGTCGATCAATGGGCTTTTTTTTATTGACTTGGCAACCTTTGTTTTTGTTTACGCCTCGGATGACTTCACCTGGGTTGTGAAAGTTTCCTCTAGTTTAGATAACAATACTTCCCACGTAACAGAGTCAGTTTGCCCTGGGACGGGACTTGACAATCGGGTAGCAATTTCGAGCCAATTTGCTATCAAATCCGAGAAAGTTTCTCATTAGTGGATTTGACAGTAGCAATCAGGGTGGCCAGACCTACCGATTTTCGGGATGCCTACCGATTCACAGACAAAAGGTTAAAAACTACCGATTTTTCACTTTTCCTACCGAGAATCACAGATTTTTAGTAATCTTGAAAAATAATCAATACCTATGTGTTATTTTCCTTGTAGTCAGAATTAGCATTAGAATTAGACATATTGATTTCGACACGTTTAAAGCAGAAGAACTGAAGAAAAGTCCCCGCTCACAAAGGTTTCAAGTATCGGGAAAGCCACTCTGGTAGCAATCGTGAACAGAGGGATCGCATCAATATGGCTGACAGTGATGCCAGAATCAACGTTGACGTCAATGGAGTTGTTAGTTGTTTATATTTGCGAAAGGAAAGTTGAAAAATTGAGTGCACTGCGTGTTTTAAGCGATGGATATTGTTGTTTATAATGGTTGTTTTCATTGTGTTGAGCAAAAATTATGTATAAGTTGCTAAACTGCGATAGAAACTCCGAATAAAATCCAAATAAAATAGAAAATGTTATTTTTCATTCCTGGCATCATTGGTCAAACTCCGTCAAGCCTGGGGGGACGTGCTGTCAAATCAGCTTACTGATCATTCTTGTATGAAATTGGTTCCAAACGTAAACAAACCCTGTAGGTTTCTTATGGGTTGTTTACGTTCGGAACCAAAAATAAAGGTGCGTGCGCGACGATTGTTCGTATTTGACTGCCACCTCCCCCCGCTTGCGTCAAACACCACGCACAATTTTCCGAAGGGCATTCTTCAAAAACATTAAGAAGAGTGAGAAGTTCGATTGTCAAGTCCCGTCCCGGAGTTTGTCTACTATGCTTGATAGCCTTGATAGATAGACGGTTTGACAGTTCGATTTTGGTTTCAGTCTGCGTAACTCTTCTATTATCAACTCTGAAGTATCCTATTCAAAATAGGGGAAATTACGTATTCTCGGCAACCTAAGCAGCGACCTTCTTTCTATAGCCTTTTTCTCTAAGGAACGCACACATATGCAGTATTGGTTTGTTTACAATCTTTTGCTGCTAGCTGCTCTAACAATTTCAGTCGAAAGAATTGTCAAAAACTGTTTTGAAACGCTTTTACAAAGCTCCAATCTTCTCTAGTGAGAGCGAGTATTGTCGGCAACCATTTTTTCTTCGGCAACCGTTCCATTTGAACTGCATGTAAATCTGCTGTTCTATTATCGGCAACTCGAAATCAGCTACAATTTGTAGTGCGTGTGTTTCATTTCAAGAAAACCCTGCTAGATTGCTTTTTCTTAGTGGTAAAAATATAGTCAAATTGAAGCTTAAAGCATAAAGAATCGTTTGCATGCATTCAGCGAAGTGTTTTTGTCAGAAAATCCAGTGAAAATAGTGTTTCAATTTGGGTTGCCGAAAATAGTCTGGCATGCCGAAGCCGTCATTTTCCCTATGTCCATTTCTAAATCAAACACCAATCAATTCTCGCGGAACTTTTCGAAAGGTCCTAAGTAACAAATGTAAACAAATCGAGCTAAGCGATGCAAACTATTGCTCTTCTATCATTGTATGTGATACAAAAACATCCATCCAAATTTACTTTCATTTATTTGAGATAATCATAGGTAAAAAAATTGTCCAATGTACCGTTTGAAATGATGGGTACATGATTGTTACATCGGTCATTCGGACTGCCTAACATGATTGGTGCTCATTTTCTAAAGGCGAGGCCAATCTAAAGTAAAGTACTCTACTCTGAAATCTGTGAAAGGGAATCTAGTATCATGTAGAACAAAACGTCCAATGTAACACTCATTGATTATGTCATTGAGAAAAATCGTCCAATGCAAAATGTCCGATGTACAACTTGACTAGTCAAAACGTCCTAATTGTTTTTTTTTCTATACTGTATCATGAAATTCAAAGTAAAATTGTGATTCTACCGTTTCTACTGGATTTTCAACGTTATTGTTCACTGACTAACTTTGAAATAGTATTGCAAAATGTATTGTTTCTAAACAGTTTAAATAATAATCGGTCGAAATTCAAGTTCGATTTACTCAAAATGGTGGATATGTTACATTGGTCTATTTGAAAAGTGACGCGAAAGTTCCAGATCCAGCCGAGCGTACCTCACTGCAGCTGATAAACCACCGAAACGTTATTCGACCTACCACCCACCTAACTACATCGTCTAAATGCACTACTACTACGAAGGTTACACTGGACCCCCGATAGCCTAAACCGACCGAAGACTGTTTAATTGGAAGTTAAAAACAATACCAAAGCGATAAATAATATTAAGCTGCAAAATTAACACACCAATGATCGCGATGCTTTAGGCTCACGCGGGTAAAAACCGTCTCTTGAATTACGTCGCTTTGAGTGACAAAAAAGGATTGTTTTCGTTTTATTTTTCCTCTTACCCATTGGAAGATTTTTATTGATTTTCCACCACCGAAAATTCGAACCCACGATTTGAGATTAGAAAATTATTATCAAACACTATAAGTACAGTTAGGGGAATAAATATTCGTGTAAATCGTTACTCGTTAGCGTCAAGTTAATACGGGTTTAGATATCGTCCTCCACTCCGTGATTCCTGTAGCAGATGGTTGCAAATGTTAGCACGAATGTGTTATGTGAGCAAATGCGAGTAGTGGAAGACAGAAAAAAAAGAGACAACATGATTTTAGCACTAACGAACGGTACACTACTTTAGTTGCCTAAGGCTTACATTAATCCACCCATACTCCAAGTCAATCACACGGATGTCACCCACAAACCAGTCAGTCTATTCTAAAGCAAACCTCTACAGGGACTATTCTAGGACACGCTCACACCCTAAATTAGTAACCCACTAAACTTTTTTTTTTCGGAATCGAAAGAGTAGAATTGAATTTGGAAAAATTTTGACTTCTGTGGTCATACTAAGATAGTAAGTACATTCTAGAGAAACGGTAGTACAAATATAATAACAGCTTACCAGTAAGTTCTCTTCTCGGCCAAGTGCTGCAGGATGTTCTGGATGACCTCTGTGCTGGTATTTTGGCCACCCAAATCTATAGTTTAAAAGAGAGAGAGAGAGATAATTAATGAATTTGCTCGAGAGTGGGTGCTTAAAAAACTCCATACCTGGCGTGTGGATACCGTCGGCATCGATTGTCTTGTGGATGGCATCGGAGATGCAGTCGGCATGGTAACTGTGGCCCAAATGGTACAGCATATCGATGGCGGCATTCAGCATGGCAATCGGGTTGGCAATGTTCTTGCCGGCGATGGCCGTACCGGTGTTGCGGGTGCCCGGCTCGAACACGGCGTACTGCGGGTAGAAGAAGGATGAACGGTCAATGGAATCATATCGGTATAATTTAGTTCGTTAACGCGGTCAAGAACTTAATAGGAGCCAAGCTGAGCAATTAAACTTGCAAAAGAAAGGAAGTTAGTGTTTACCACCCGGGCAAAAACGCAGTACCTTTTTAATCACACTGGTAATCACCAGCCGGTAAACTCTTTCAAAGATGAACTCCTAACACTTTGAAGCCCCACAATTCTTAGAAAGGCTTAGGCATCCCTAAGGAGGAGTGCCAGGATAAATTCAAGAAAAACTTTAACCCTTTCCTTCACAGAAGGTTTTTCGTTGTTTTGAGATGCAAAAATGTGTTTTTGAAAAATGTGCTAGAACAAAAAACAAATTTTAGAATGTGGGAACTGTACTGACTATTTAATGGTAGATTGAGAGACAGACCGAAAAGTTGTGGATCGATTGCCTGTGCTACCATGGGAAGGAGAGGGCTAAGAACAAATTCAAGGTAAACCTCGAGAAACGGAGCTCAGGGAACATCGAGGAAAAACTTAAGGAAAACATCGAGGAGAACTGCGAAGGGTAGCTCATATAGCCTAGTCAGTACCGAATTACCAAAGCAAAGCCATCGGGTCTGATTCCCAGTCCGATCGAGGAAATCTTTCGGGTTGGAAATTTTCTCGACTTTCCTGGCCTCACACAATATACAAATGAATGCATTGGTTGCATTGCTCATTGGAATGCATTCTAGAAAGGTCTCAATTAATAACCGTGGAAGTGTATTTGGAACACAAAAGCTCTGAACCATTTGGCGGATTTTTTAACTAAAGGGTGATACGGTCAAAATTTGGTCAAGGGAAAACGCGTGTAAATCGGTGAAATCGTTTATTTAAAAAATCAAATTAAATTTCTTTTTCAAGTTCAATTAGTATAAAATTCAGGAAAAATATTCAGTTAGGCTTCCGCTTTTCCAAATCCGAATTGCCGGGCCTTACGCTTGACCCCTGCCTTGTCCACCTTCTTCGCCGCAGAAAGCCAGTTTGCCTTGAACTGCTGCTCGCCCTTAGCAGTTTTTTTGGTCTTCTTTAGGTTCCGCTTGACAATAGCCCAGTATTTCTCAATTGGGCGGAGCTCTGGCGTGTTGGGAGGGTTCTTGTCCTTGGGAACCACCTGCACGTTGTTGGCGGCGTACCACTCCATGGCCTTTTTACCGTAATGGCAAGATGCCAAATCCGGCCAAAACAATACGGAACAACCGTGTTTCTTCAGGAAAGGCAGCAGACGTTTATTCAAACACTCTTTCACGTAAATTTCTTGGTTGACAGTCCCGGAAGCTATGAAAATGCTGCTTTTCAAGCCACAGGTACAGATGGCTTACCAAACCAGATATTTCTTTGCGAACTTTGACAGTTTCATGTGCTTGAAAACATCTGCTACCTTTCCCCTTCCTTTTGCCGTATAAAACTCCTGTCCCGGAAGCTGCTTGTAGTCGGCTTTGACGAAGGTTTCGAATTCCATTACCACGCAGTCAAACTTCGTCAGCATCGTCGTGTACAGCCTCCGGGATCGCGCTTTGGCCATCGTATTTTGTTTATCATCGCGATTTGGAGTCACTACCTTCTTGTAAGTCGATAGTCCGGCTCGTTTTTTGGCTCGATGCACGGTTGTAGACGATACACCCAGCTTATTTGCGGCATCTCGGAGAGAGAGGTTAGGGTTTCGCTTGAAGCTACCGGCAACTCTCTTTGTCGTCTCAGCGGCTTCCGGTTTTCGATTTCCCCCCGATCCAGACTTCCTGGCTGTCGACAAACGTTCCCCAAACACTTTAATTACATTTGTAACGGTTGATTTGCCAACTTTGCGTGCGAGTAGCTCGGATTTTCGCGATGCGCGAGCAAAATTTTGATACGCTGCTCTTCTTGCTTGGACGGCATTTTGACAACTGAAGAGTGAATTCCAAAATCAAAATAGGAGCAACATTCTACACACACACACCTTCAAAATGAGGGGTGTTCAGGTTTTTTAAATGCAAAATTGAAAGAAATACGTCAAGTTGATATTGACCAAATTTTGACCGTATCACCCTTTATTGGATAAAATTTGACAGAAGGAAAATTATCGATTAACCCTGCTATCCCCGAGCGTGGTTATTTCTGACAGACAAGAAGTTAAATTTTGACAACCGTGGCTGAGTTCTGCTCGAAAACCGATCGATCGGTAAAACAGGGATTTTCGAACATAAGAAACCACGAGTTAAGGTGAATCGCTGTGACATTTTTATTCTCGGAACCACTTCGAAAGTATAAGTGCACAAATATCAGCTTCTACGACACGTGCAACATTCAAATTGTTAATCTTCGTTGGCTGCACTGCATAATACATGAAGTAGCAATTTCAGGAAGAATTGGGCACTGATTTTCAAGATTTGTGTGATTGAAAATTTGAAATGGAAGTGCATGTATAGACTACGTAGCGGCCATTTGTGGACTCAACAAGGAATCACCTTAAATTTTAACTTGGAAAATGGTTCACAAACTTGAGAGCCGGCAAAACGCTCGCTACAGAAGCGCAAAAAGCCTAGAAGAAGGTCGAAAAAACTGTGTTGTGCCCGAGTTAAAGGAAATCTTTGTGAAGAAATTAAAGGAACTATTTAAGAGAGGATGTTCAGGGAAATTTTAGAGAAAGATCAAAGGGAACTTTGAGGGAATGCTTCAGGGAATATACAAATTAAATATAAGGAAACTTTGAGGTAGAGTTTAGAAAATTTTGTGGAGAAGCTCGCACGACCAACCAGAACAACTCAGCGACTGACGCTAATGAGTAACTGCAGGTTTTTCCAAATATGAGTAAACTTCGACATACTAAGGACATACTCTGAATGCTAACTTGAAAGTACCCATTAATGAGTATCTGTTACCCATTAATAAGTAACAATTACTCATTAATGGGTAACATACTCTTTTTTTTCCTTGATTTGTTTTCCGTCGATCTTGTTTTCCGTCGATCTTGTTTTCCGTGCTGAGCACCAATGCTACCGACGCCAGAGAGGCAGCTCCCACACCTGGACCCTACCTATCGACCCATCAACTTATGAATCGGGGACCAACAGCTTTACTTCCCTCAGAACATCCCGGCGACACCGTCTGCCGATAAATTTGCCTCATGTTTTCCAGGTTTGTCCAGGAAAAACTTCCAGAATATGAGAAAACAAAAGTTTTTTCGTACAAATCCTAGACCGAGTCAAATTGTTGTCAATTTCCCCTTTTTCATGAGGCAAATTTAATTATAGCTGAGTTCCTGCACTTTTGGCGATTACACTAGTTTACAAAACAACATAAAAAGTGTGAACTTAAGTGGTTGACCAACGTTTCTAATGCAAAATCCTACGCTGAATTCAATGCCGTGGTCAGAAAAAATTTAAGTAGAGCCATTTTTAAGATATACAAAATTTTTGATTTTTTGAATTTTGGACAAAAGTACGATTATTAAAATGTCAATATCTTTGGAACTAGTGCACCAATTTTAAATCTTTTTCTATGAAAATGAAGCTAAATAAATTTGCTATCGTTCACTAGAATATTATGTCTTAATTAAAAATTTAATTTTGAAGTCATTTAAAAATTTACAGCATTTTTTTTTTCCTGCGAATTTTCCTTAAAAATCTTGTTTTAATCAACATTTTTAATGGGATAAAAAGATTCAAAAAATCATTCCATAATTTATTCTTAAAGTCCATTCAAAACCGGAGAAAATGAGCCTTTAATGGATGAAATCGGTTGGAAATTGTCGAAGTTATGAGCATTTTTGTAAAACACTTAAAAATGTTGCTGAAATACAACAGCTTTAGAGTTCCTTTTCTAGGTGTCGTTGTAAGCATCCAAATCGCATGTAAAGTTTTCATGGGAGATTCTTTTCTCTACATATCAATTTGATTAAGGCATATCAGGATTTAAAACTGAGTTGATACAAAAGAAATTTATTTAGGTTTTATTAAAAATGATTGAGAATCGAATGACTTTGTCTTCGATGTTTTGAACTTGTTTCTCGAATCAGAAACCAACAATGGTCACCTATCATTGCTTCATCCCAAAACCCTTGGTAACGACGTTCCATCATCTTCATTTGTTGGTGAAAACGTTCGCCGTGCTCATCACTCTCGTCACCAAGATTTTCCGGGAAAAAATCCATGTGAGAATGTAGGAAATGTATCTTCAAAGACATATTCACACCTGTGTTCAGTGAACTAAAAGGATTTGAAATTAATTATATGTAACAAACACAATATTTTTGATTTATACCTTAATCGTACTTTTGTCCAAAATTCAAAAAATCAAAATTTTTGTATATCTCAAAAATTGCTCTACTTTAATTTTTTCTGACCACGGCATTGAATTCAGCGTAGGATTTTGCATTGGAAATGATCATCACCTTACCGAGTTCAAAAATGCTGTAAACTAGTGTTATGAGAGAACTAAACTCAGATTTGGGTCGTTCTCATTCGCCGTTCGTCATACCGCCCCTGAGCAACGGCGTAGACCAGCGCTGCCCAACGTGCGGCTCGCGGGCCGGACGTGGTCTCTGGATCTCAGCAATGACATAATTTTTGTCTAATTTTATTCATCATTATGAATTTCAACCCAGAGTTAATGAGAAATAAACAAAGTGTAGCTTGCAACATGTTCATCGAACAACCGTTTAAAAAAGCAAGTTTAGAAAGATTGGGCAGTAGACTGATGCAAAATTTGACTTTTTCGCTCCACAGTGCTTAAATGGTTTAAAATCGGGTCCTGATTAGCCTCCCAAAGTTACAACTAATTTGGTTAGAAACAGACTTCGCACAAGCCATTTGAAGTTTCCATGTAAATAACTATGGGAAATCTCAACTTTTTGTTCATTGCCTTCTAGCCTTTTTTTCATATTGAGCTGCGAAACAGTTTGATAGCCATTCTTATAGAAAATTTGCTCAGCTACAACTTTGTTTCTATGTAAAACGAGACAGGAAAAAGTTATTAATTATT